GGAATTTTTGTCACCTGTATCACACTTCATATGTAGATATGAATTTGTATGAATTTATATGGTCTCTTGTACATTTTAGTATTATATACTCCTCCCGGAATGACAGTTGGGTTTAAAAGTGTGGGGTTTGCAGGGTTTCAGTGGAGCATTAACAGTCATTAATCTGATTTTGCAAACATTACGGCCTCAAGTCAGGAAACGTTTTCCTCCACCAGTAACATGTAGTGACCTGGCCACTTTTCTGCAAGAAGAATGCCTCAAAATCCATCTGGCCACTGTGCTGGACGTGTATCTGTCATTCCCAAAACTAATTGATGCTAATGAATTACTGTGGTCTAAAATCAGGCCTTTCGGTGTCATTGTCCAACACCATACTGCAATTTCCTGCTTGACTCAAATGATTACAAAATCATGCCAAATCATTATAAAAAGGTGTCTGAGTTAGAACTAAAAGCAAGTGATTTAAGGCAAATTTAACTTGTTAAAAGTTTTGAGTCACATTTAAAGTGTAATTATTGTTTCAGGGTTACCATCTGGAGGTTAAATTTTTTTCCAGTCTGATAACATTTGAAACTTCTAAAATATCTTGAAATAAATGTTGATGTTTTATGTTGTCTTCTAATTCAGTTCTGAGTAATACAGTTTCATTGTTCTTTCATTGGCTGCACGGTGGCGCAGTGGGTAGCTCATTCGCCTTACAGCAGAAAACTTGCTGGTTCGAGCCTCGGCTGGGTCAGTTGGCGTTTCTGTGTGGAGTTTGCATGTTCTCTCCGTGTCTGCGTGGGTTTCCTCCGGGTGCTCTGGTTTCCCCAACAAGTCCAAAGACGTGTGGTACAGGTGAATTAGGTAGGCTAAGTTGTCCGTGGTGTATGTGAATCAGTGTGTATGGATGTTTCCCAGTGATCGGTTGCAGCTGTGTAAAACATATGTTGGATAAGTTGGCGGTTCATTCCACTGTGGCGAACCCAGATTGATAAAGGGACAAAGCCAAAAAGAAAATTAATGAATGTTCTGTCATTGTGAAACTCAATGTAAAAAAAAAACAACAACACATATAGATGTTTTGTGGTGGCAGTCAGTGGCGCAAAAAGGGGTATGCAGTATATGCGGCGCCACACATGGGGGGCGCCATTGTGCCAAAACTATTTTTGAAATTATCTATTTTAAAAGTTTCATATATATATATTTTTTGTTAAAAATGTTTATTTAGCATTTTATACGCGTATAATATTGTATTTTATTAAATAAAGAAATCATTCCACCCCTCCCCCCATTTTTTATACCATATACATGTTTCTATGAATTCATTATGTATCATATTAATTCATCAGGCCTTTTGGTAACTTCTTTGCTCAAAACTATTTTACTTTTAGCTACAAACAAAGTTATAACATTTCAATTAAATAGAACATTTCACACAGTTTGTTTCTGTTTTTTTACACTAAACATTTGACAGTCTTTTTTATTTCACTTTTTGCAGTTTCAGTCAATTGTTCGAAATGTTCTTTTGCCCTTTAGGACTCCCATGTCTATCACTTTGTTTTGACAAATGTAGTACAAAAAGTCCAAAAGCAAGCCTAGTCAAGGTGCTATAATCATTTAGAGAGGGAAAATTAAACTGGGAAAAAATTTTTCTGGTAGTATGAGATGCATTTCTTTGCGACGTAACATGCTTAATGTAACTTCATACTATTTCAGTTGTGTTCAGAACTGCGAAACTGTATTTTTTGAAGCATATTGATATCTTTATGAAAAAATATATTTTATTTATTGATGGAAATATTTTCCACATTTTATCACTTGCCTGTTATAAAATATAGTTGGACTGAAGGGGGGCGCGCAAAAGTTGAAGCCGCATACCCATCAGTAAATGTGCAGTTGCGCCCCTGGTGCCAGTGGATAGTAATAGGTGGTGTATGACATTACAAATAGTTAAAAGGGCATTAAAAGATAGCTGCAGAAAAATTGTTTTCTTACTAATGAAATTGTGTGAATTTTGTATGAATTATAGCCATTTTCTGCCTAAACATAAAATAGTTACTTTCCTCGTGCGATCAGCCTGGATGTGTGTTTCTGACTGGTTTCTTTTTGAAGTCATTTGTGTCTTTGATGTTTTCGGACTTTATCTGTTGAGTGGAAAGCTCTGCTGTTTGTCCAGAAGAGCTTTGATAAAGGACAGCGTCCACAATGACAGTGCCCTCTTAACAAGCTCTGATCTTTAAGACCGGACCCTTCCTGTAAAGCCACAGGACAACAGAAACCAATCTCGATTTGTATGAAAATATTTAAGAGACAAGCACTTTTTATATTTAAAGACATCAAAGTAGCTTTACCAACCATGCACGGAGAAAAAAAACAATAGGACATGCAGCCAAAAATCAGATCTTTTGACAAAACAAAGCTGCCTTTTGCAGATTACAGACCTGTGATTTAACATGTCTGTTCACTGCATTAAATTAAACATCCTTTTTCTAGCTTTCATTTTGCTTTAGTTGGTGACTCTTTACTAAATGGTTCTTCAAAAATCATATTAATCCATTAAAAATGTTACACTAACAAGTCAAACAAACAAACTAAAAAAAAAACCCTTGTGATGAAAAAAGTATATTTTAGCATACACTCACCGGTCACCTCATAAGGACCTCTTTTGCCTTAATCCTTTGTGAAATAGATTCAACAAGGCACTGAAAATATTTCTCAGAGATTTTGCAGTTGCGACAGGTTTGTCGGCTGCACATGATGTGAATCTCCCATTCCTCAACATCCCAAAGGTGCTCTATTGGAGCACAGTCTGCTGACTGTGGAGGCCATTTGAGAACAGCGAACTCATTGTCATGTTTAAGAAACTAGTCTGAGATTATTCACGCTTTATAACGTGGCAATTTATCCTCCTGGAAGTAGACACGATGCTCAATTGACACAATGCTCTATTGGTACTAATGGGCCCAAAGTGTGCCAAGAAATTATCCCCCACACCATAACACCAACACCATTGATACAAGGCAGGATGGATCCATGCTTTCATGTTGTTTACCAAATTATGACTCTACCATCCGAATGACGCAGCAGAAATGGAGACTAATTCGACCAGTCAACATTTTTCCAATCTACAATTGTCCAGTTTTGGTGAACCTGTGCGAATTGTAGCCTCGGTTTCCTGTTCTTTATTGACAGGAGTGGCACCACAGGGTGGTTTTCTGCTGCTGTAGCCCATCCACCTCAAGGTTTGACGTGTTGTCCGTCTTTTAAATACCTCAGTTATAACAATACTGTTGCCGCTCACTGGATATTTTCTCTTTTTCTGACCTTTCTCTGTAAACCCTAGTGATGGTTTTGCATAAAAATGTCAGTAGATCAGCAGTTTCTGAAATACTCAGACCAGCATGTCTGGCACCAACAACCATGCCACATTCAAAGTCACTTAAATCACTTTTCTGCCTCATTCTGATGCTCGGTTTGATCTGCAGCAGATCGTCTTGACCATGTCTACATGCCTAAATGCATTGAGTTGCTGCCATGTGATTGGCAGATTAGATATTTGTATTAACAAGCAGTTGGACCAGTGATAAAAAATATAGTGGCCAGTGAGTATAAATCATGTTTTTGAATGTTTCTAAAAAGTGTCTTTTACAGGAATTATACAGTTTAGTGCAATTTGAACAGCTGATTGCATATTGTCAATAGTTAAGAACAGTTTTAATTTTTTTCTAAAGGTGTTGTTATTGTACATAAAAATCATTGTGCTTTTTGTGACCCACTTACAGTAATACAGTATTGATACATTAACCGTACAGTATTGTATGGTAATGTCATAGATCAGGGGTGTCAAACTCAATTCCTGGAGGGCTGAAGCCCTGCACAGTTTAGTTCCAACCCTGCTCCAACACACTTACCTGTAGGTTTCAAACAAGCCTGAAGGACTCAATTAGTTTGATCAGGTGTGTTTAATTAGGGTTGGAACTAAACTGTGCAGAGCTGCGGCCCTTTTGGAACTGAGTTTGACACCTGTGTCATAGATGAATATATTGTGTTTGAAATATTATCTTATGTACTGGTAACGTAAATTCACATTTTAATTGGAGTGAAATTAATTGCTGTTTTAATTGAATTATGTTATACTTAATCAAGCTCATTTCACAAATGATGAGAATATTTAAAAATGAAAATCAATGAATATTTGGAAGCCGATAAGCAGATTGTCCATTAAAGTCTTGTGGAATTAAGTTACAGTATTTACATAAGGGCTCTTTAAGAGGGGCTCTACGACATCTAGGGGGCCCACAGCGGTACTGCAGGGTGTCTATGAGTTATTTGCCTTTTTTTAGTCTATGGTTCGTTTGACCCATTGGTTTGACCTCACACAAATACTGTGTGTAAATAATACATATATAACAAAACTGATTTGTTAGACTTAACGTTACTTTAACCAAAGCTAAATGTAAAGTTCGGTCGAATGTGTTGTAACATAAGACTTACCTTTTAGCATCTGCTTGTATGGATGTACATTATATTAATGCATTTATCAGTATATCATACACATCGTTTAACTACTGTAAAAATATAGTATGCCACCGTACAAAATAACATACATACAGTATTACAGTAGTGGAAAATCCAACGGTTGGTGTAAAACAACATTTAAGACGTTTATGATTTTACAGCTCAGCCATATTTTTTTAAATGTGATTTTAAAGTTTAATTTGCTACCTTTTATGATAAAAACACCACATAGCTATATTACACACGACTATCGGTTTAGCATTATGGGTAATGCTGTCTTTTTGCACAAGGCGTGGCATCGAGAGGGACCCCTTACTCTTTCTAGTTACCATCCGCTTTCTCTTATTAAAACGACATTTGGTGGCACTCCACGACCATGACGATGAAAATAAAACATTGACGTCCAGTCATAAATACGCAACGGTTTCTAGAAACTATTTCTGATAACTGTATACGTGCGCACAAACAGACTACACTACCCAGCGTATTTGCCCCCATTCCCCAAGAAGTATGACTTTGCGTGTACGAAAAAAAAACGGGTATTCATTGGATATCCAGGGGGAATCCTCGGCTCCTATTGGTCTATTCTCATGTCAATCAAACAGCATCCGTGACTCATGTGGGTGCTCCCTCGCTGGAAACAGGGATGGAATGGACGAGCAAGTGCAACATCCTGGAAGGTGAGCTTTATTATTGTTTTCACTCTCCTCCTGACTAACAGCTGTTATCTTATAATTATCCGTGATTATATCGCTTTGTTTATATAAATGTATAGGTTTAATCACACCGAGTGCACCCCACTAAACCATATTCAGCTGCTAGTAGTCATAGTGAATATTCCTCTCATATTATTTTAGCTTGATAAATATCAATATTCACTCAGAAGTCTGTATCTGAAACTGGTTTGTTTTTAGCTAAATACAGACAGCTTCTTTTTGAGCCACAAGCTAAACTGTCAGATCGACAGACTGGATGCGTAAAGCCCAAAGTATACTTGGTTTTATTATGCGTACTCAAGCGCACGCGCACAGTAGTACAGTATGTGGCCTTTTAAAGTACAGACCAACATAAAGCAAACGAGATTTATTTACTACAAAGGAAAGCAATTTGTAGAAAAACACCTGTTGTGAGCTTCAATATTGTGTGTTGGTTGAACCCATGAATTTGCATTAATTTAGCTCATTTTGTTATTACAACTGTTGTATTTAAAAACGGAATGTGCGATGATAAACTACAAAACCCATTAAGCAGTTCAGAAAATGGCCCCAATAAGAGAATCGTATTGAGCGAAAGATGCCAAATTCCATCTTCTGCATTGATTACTCCAGTAAAAAGCATTGTTTTGGTTTCCCTATGCAAACATTTGAAGGGATAGTTTAAAAAAATGAAATGAAAAAAAAGTCATTAATTACTCACCCTTATGTCATTCTCATTGACTTAAACATGTTGGCAACGTCTTTAAACACACTAGCGATATGCTAAACATATTAGTGACTTCTTAAAATATGGGTTTCCGATCCACTTAAAGGTGCAGTAGGTGGTTGCCTTCAGAAACATTTTTGTTGTGCTGGTTGAAAGTCTCTTTACGTTCCAATAGTAATGATTAAAGTACATGATCTAAATGTATTTAAATGTATTTTTATATCCTGGGTAAAGCCTGGTTTATACTTCTGCGTCAAGTGACCGGCGTAACCCACGGCGCATGCAATGTGCGTAGCTGTGCATTTATACTTCTGCGCGCTGTCTCTGTGGGTCTGCATTAACACTTCCGAAACGCTAGTTGGCAGTGAGGTGTAAATATTCCTCTGTGTCGAGTTTCTTCGCTGCTGTTTTGCTTTTCCTGAACACTTCCTGGATGTACAAGTGGCTCAAACTTGCTCATTTTGAGGCAGGAACCGGCGGACGTGCAACAACTTTAACTATGAGGTTAAAAAACTTTCCTTTCGGAGCTCCTTCATGGGACTCCACACTTGTAAACAATCGCTCCATCGGGCTGGCGCCATTCGCGCGGCTCTCGGTCCCGCCCAGACTCGTCAGCGCTACCAAGCAGACCAATCACAGAGCTTGCGCTACGCGTTGTTGCGATGTGTAGTTAAATTCTTTGAGAGGTGCACGTCAGCGACGGCTTTTGACGCAGAAGTATAAATCAGCCTTAAGGCATAAGAGTAAAAAATGTTCATCCAATTAAATATTGTCAGACTGACAATTCCCATTAGTCTGATAAGGAGCCCAAACAGTCTAAAAAAATGTAGATTTGTACATCTGCACATCAATAATATCTGGATGCAACCTTTATGATGCAAGCTGAGATTGCATCACTCAGCGATGCAATGTCTGACACAATGCACTCAAATGGAGCTAGTGATGCACTGTAAGGGGTAGGTTAGGGGTGGGGTTAGGTGAGCCCATTAAAAAGCATTGGATGCAGCTCAGATCTGTTCACACAGATCCAACCGACATTTGCGTGTGCATGCACGACACAAGTTCATGTGCACACGAGACAGTCACAGTGGTAAAAACAAATGCTGAATCAAAACTTTTTTCAAATCCTGAATGAATATTAGAGTTACTTTTGCATGCTGGAGGAAGGTTGACACCATGGCTGAAGCATTTTATTTAGAAAGGCAATGTTATGTTTTAAAACTATTTTAGTCACACAAAGCTGATGTAGTCACACAAAGCTGGCGAATGATTGATGTGGCTATTTTCAATTTTTTAGGGTATGTTTTACAGCATAGATAATGTTGATTTTTAATTTTTTAAAAACAAAACAAAAGTAAATAGCATTATTCTGTCTAGCGTGCATTACTGAGGTGAAGTTGGTTTTATATTCACATTGGTTTATTTTTAAACAATGACAACCTGTAATGCACTCCCTATATTGTTTAACATGCTACTCTGACATTTTGGTCTAAAATTAAATACCATGTAAGCATGGCTTTGTAATAAGTGTAATTCCTACACGCCGCCAGCCAAACACTAAGCATTCAGTAGTTGCTTTAGGACAGCGCATGAGAGAGTGAGTCCAGCGATCCTTGCATGCCTGAAATATTGCACATTATGACAAGTTTTGCTTGCTACACTACTAAAAACGTGCTAGACACTTTATTGTACAGAATTTTAGTATTATAAAGTTTTCTAACTGGCGAATGACATGAACTAGTGGGTTATCTGCCGTCATCTTTAAGGTACATGCATTCGTGTTACAGGAGACGTGCCTTTGGACAGCAGGGGAGGGACTGTTTAAAAGATATTATGCCACCCGATTAGCATTGTGGCAGATTACCTATTGCACCTTTAAAGCCTGGCCTTATTTAGGTTCCAACCAGCTCAAACATTCTTGCCTGGAAGTTAGTAGTCAATCTAAAAACTTTGATTAGCTGGTTAAAGAGTATTTTGCTAGTTTGGAACATTACCAGAAAGTGACCCATGGCAATAATGTGGTAAAACACTCTCTGGAAAATTTACTTCTGATTGGTCTTGGCATGGGACGATAACTGTTTTTGACACGTAACAAAATGAGGAGCAAAATAGTGCGGTTCAACAGAATTCTTTAATGAAAAAAAAGAGTCAAAACAAGGAAGTCTGTCATTTAGCAAGGCACATAGAGCTGAATCTTCAGTAAGGAAACTCTAAAGGCCACCCACTTGGCCGTGAGAGAAGGAGATTGGATGGTCCTGTAAGCCCACCACTGCGATGAGGATCATGTCTGACCTCCGGGTGTTGGTAATATGAGCACATTCAACGATGAGAGCACACTATAATCGAGATCATATCATTTGTACCCATAACGGAGAACACAGGAGAACAGGACAAAACATGGCTGGACAGAAAAACACAGGTTAGTTGCGTGCAAGATGCACTTACGGTATGCACAAAGTAACAATAAACTAACAACGAAGGGAATGAAAGGGAGAGAGATATAGGAATGCCAATAAATGTAAAGCGAGAACAGGTGACTGATCATCAGCGCTCGTGCTGATTACAAGAGCTAACAGCTGAGAGGAGGACACAGAGGGGAAGGAGTTAACAATGATCAAATCAGACATTGTTCATTCAATTCATGACAGTACCCCTCCCCCGAGGACCGCCCCCCTGGCGGAATACCAGGTGGATGCGATGAAGCGAGTCAGGTAAGCGTAGTTGTACTGCAGCAGGATTAATGATCTTACTAATGGTGATGGTACAATGAATTTAGGAGCTAGTTTACGTGATTGAGACTGGAGGGGTAAGTGGCGGGTGGAAAGCCAGACCTTTTGACCGTAAATGTATCTAGGAGCCTTGAAGAGACGACGGTCAGCGCTGCGACGAATGATTTTGCGAAACATTAATTATGTGGAATGTACTGTTCTCCAAGTGTTACGCCAGCGCTAAATATAAACCTGAATAGACGGGAACGACGTTTTCTTCTCCTTGTGCGAAAACAGCGGGGGTTGGTAACCTAGACAATAGTGGAAAGAGGAAAGTTAAACGAGTACGAGTAAACGAGTAAACGAGGAGGGAACGGAGAAGACGACCGAGAATCTGATTAACGCATTCCGCTTGCCCGTTAGTTTGTGGGTGAAAACCTGATGACAGACTGGCAGTAGCCCCTATGTGTCAGAAGAATTCTCGCCAAAAACAAGAGGCGAACTGAGGACCTCTGTCAGAAACAATGTCTACAGGTAACCCATGGATCTTAAAGACATGGTTAAAAACTAGTACGGCGGTCTCCTTAGCAGAGGGAAGTTTGGAGACAGGAATTAAGTGAGCAGATTTAGAAAAGCCATTGACTACGGTGAGGATAACGGTGTTGTTCGTGGAGGGTGGTAACCCAGTAACGAAATCTAAGGCTATGTGTGACCACAGGCGGGATGGAATGGGTTAACGGTCTAAGTAGCCCCGCGGGAGGGAGATTACTAGTCTTTGACTGAGCACAAACTGGGCACGACTTGACGTGAGCACGGGTATCGCGTATCATAGATGGCCACCAGAAATGTTGACGTATTGCAGTTAGGGTGCCCTTTACCCCCGGATGGGCTACTGATTTGGAAGCGTATGCCCAGCGGAATACTGCAGGCCGTACAGACCTGGGAACGAATAACTTCGAAATTCTCTGGGCATTTATGTGGAACTACTACCAGAGTGAGAGCTTATTTAACTGTACGTTCGATTCCCCAAACTAAGGCTCTGATTACGCAGCCTTTCGATAGGATGGGTTCCAAAATTGAGGAATCCACGGAGGGGTTAAACTGGCATGATAAGACGTCTGGCTTGACGTTCTTAGAGCCTGGATGATATGAGGTGGTGAAGTCAAATCGCCCAAAGAATAACGCCCACCTCGCCTGTCAGGCATTGAGTCTCTTAGCAGTACGAATGTTGGTAAAAATTTCGATGATCCGTCCAAACCTCAAAAGGCACTGCAACTCCCTCGAGCCAGTCACGCCACTTGTCCAATGCTAACCGAATGGCTAGGAGTTCTCGATTACCCACATCATAGTTACGCTCAGCGGGCGAGAGTTTGTGATAAAAAAAAAAGCGCAAGGATGAATCTTGTCATCGATGACAGACCGTTGTGAGAGGACGGCCCCCACGCCGGAGCTAGAGGCGTCCACCTCCACGATAAACTGACGGTAGGGGTCGGTGTGAGGAGGATGGGCGCAGACGAAAATAATGGCTTAAGTTCCTCGAACGCCGCTTGAGCTGTGACCGACCACACAAAACAGGACTTACTGGAGGTTAGAGTGGTTAAAGGCGCGAAAATTTGACAAAAAATTTTAATAAACCACCGATAGAAATTTGCAAAGGCCAAAAATCTCTGAAGTGCAGTGCGTGTCTCAGGAACTGGCCAGTCCGCGACGGTTTGCACTTTGGCTGACTCCATGCTAATTACATCAGCTGAGACTATATAACCCAGAAAAGGAACCGAGTCAGCATGAAAAACACACTTCTCTGCTTTCAAGAAAAGCAGATTCTCTAACAGGCGCTGCAGTACGCGGCGAACGTGTTGGATATGGGTTTCGAGCGAGGGGGAAAAAATTAGATGTCATCTAAATAGACAAACACAGAAAAATTGAGCATGTCCCTAAGAATGTCATTTACCAGTACTTGGAAAATGGAAGGTGCACTTACCAGCCCGAAAGAAACAACCTTATATTCGAAGTGGCCGAGCGGAGTATTAAAAGCGGTCTTCCATTCCTGTCTGGCCTTGATGCGGACCAAGTAATACGCATTACGGAGGTCTAATTTCGTAAAAATCTTAGCTCCTTGTAAGATCTCAAAGGCTGATGACATGAGGGGCAGGGGGTAGCAATTCTTAATGGTTATACTGTTAAGCCCTCGATAGTCAAAACACGGACGTAGCGACCCATCCTGTTTCTTTACAAAAAAGGAACCAGCACCAACAGGTGAACAATGGTGCCTGCAGCGAGTGACTCAGAGAGATATTGCTCAAGGGCTTCACGCTCTGGTTTGGATAGAGAATACAATCGCCCCTGAGGAGGAGTACTACCTAGAATGAGATCGATGCTACAGTCTTAATGCCGATGGGGAGGGAGAGAAGCGGCCCGGCCCGGGAAGAACGCTCGCAGATTGTGATATTCCTTTGGAACACCCGACAAATCACCTGGTTCTTCCTGCAACACAGAGACAGAAGACACAAGAGGAACAGCAGAGACAAGACATTTAACATGACAGGGAAGACTTCACGACATAACAGTCCCATCGGACCAGACAATGTGAGGATTATGGTTAGAAAGCCAGGGATGGCCCAGTATTAATGGAGAAAGAACTGAGTCAAATAAATAGAACTTTATTGTCTTTTGATGATTTCCAGAGACGTTAAGACTCACGGGCATGGTGATACGACGGACCTGGTGCAAAAGATGTCCATTGAGCGCATACACTGGAGGTGGGTTGTCCATCTCGGTGAAGGGAATACCGGAACGTAATGCCCACGCTTCATCCATGATTTTCTTCGGCTCCTAAGTCAACGAACGCCCTGCAGGAAATGGAGGTGCCACCATGGCGTAAGACAGCAGGAAGAGTGGTTCGCCGCAAAGGAGTGGGAGATAAGGAAATAGCACTCGTCAGAACTCCTTGGTCTTCTGATGAGCCTACCCCTCTACTGGGCATTTGGAGACGAAGTGTCCAGCGCCCCGCAGTACATGCAAAGTCTGAAAATCAAGCATCGTTGACGGTCAGCATCAGTGATGTAAAACCCATCCAGTTCCTTGGGTTCCGGAAGGCGAGCACAGCAGAGGGAGGATGAGACACAGTAAACTCATCAGGAGCGCCCCTGGAACAGCGACGCAACTTCAAGCATTTTTCCCAACGAATAGCCCTTTCAATAAGAGCATTCAGACTGGAGGGGAGTTCGTGTGAGAAAAGCTAGTCTAATTCAGTGGAGAGACCATCCACAAATTGGGCGATAAGGGCTGGGATTGTTTACTGGGGGATTGTTTACACAGGGTTCAGAAATATGTTGGTGGACAGCGTTAGACAGGGCCCACGGGCTAAATCTGTGGAGCTGGTTGGTGAGTTCCGTTAGCTGCACTGACAGACTGTCCATGGCATGTCTGGTGACGGAGAGCTCCTCTTCGTGGCAGCCGAGCATTGCTCCCTGGTTTACGACCACAAAGCGTATGGAGCCTCTCTCAGCCAAATCCATCATTTGGTCATTTTATTCTGTCATGGAACAGAATGAAAAGCAAAATAGTGGGATTCAACAGAATTCTTTAATTAAAAAAAGCGTCAAAACAAGGCATTTTGTCGTTTAACGAGGCACACAGAGCTGAATCTTCAGTAAGAAAACTCTAAAGGCCGCCTGCTTAGCCGTGAGAGAGAGAAGGAGGTTGGATGGACCTGTTAGCAAACCACTGCAATGAGGAGAACGTCTGACCTCTGGGTGTTGGTAATATGAGCACATTCAACGATGAGAGCGCACTATAATCGAGATCATATAATTTGTACCCACGACGTAGAACACAGGAGAACAAGACAAAACAGGGCTGGACAGGAAAACACAGGTTAGTTGCATGCAAGGTGCACTTACGATATGCACAAAGTAACAATAAACTTACAACGGAGGGAATGAAAGGGAGAGAGATATAGGAATGCCAATAAGGGTAAAGCGAGAACAGGTGACTGGTCATCAGCGCTCGTGCTGAGTACAAGAGCTAACAGCTGAGAGGAGGACATAGAGGGGAAGGACTTAATAATGATCAACCCAAATTCATGACAGTTTTTAAGGTATAACGCGGTTTGGAAAAGTCAAGGTTTTAAAATCGTCTATATTTTCTGCAATAACGTTCTTAAGGTGTGTGTTCGATTTTTTATTTATGTTTTTTTTTTTAGGACAACGGTATCTCCAGCAGAAAAGATGCAGTTTAAAAAAAAAAAAATAAACATAAATAAATAAATAAACAAATGAAGACAGCAGAAATCAATAATTCATTTAGTCTGACATGTTTACTGTTCCAAAATATTTTAAATGCTTCTCAAAATTAAATATATTTCGTTCAAAAGGGAAAAAAGTTTTGGTTTTTACCCAGACATTTAAAAAGAATATATTTTAGAAGATATATTTTATATTTTATAGAGCAGTAATCACAATACTGCGAAAACGTAATGTTTTTATCCAAGGTTATCATACCATCAGAATCTTATACAGGCCCATGCCTAGATTCGTTAGTCTTGAAACTCCAAGTTATGTTATTCCCAGAAAACTAATGTTGAAACGAATAACACAGGCTCATCCGGGTATTTTGAATCATCTTGACTATCAGTGAATACATTCACATCCAAATGCTTGTCTGTCACACAGCTGTTTTTGACTGTTTTAGTGCATGCTGCTCCATTCAACCAAATTCAATTCTGTCAGCTTTGCGTTTAATGAAATATTTAATATTAGTTATTTTGGCTCAGAACAATGTTTTGTGTCTAATTGTTACATTTTCTGGCAAGTAGCCGTGACATAAGCTTTGCATTGTGCTGATAAGCCTGCTAGGCTTTATTTTGTGACTTTATTCCTTACTTAGCATGCTTGAAGATGCTCTGAAATATGCAAGCAAGATGCTAAAACATGTCAGAAACTTGCTAAAACTTGCTTAAAACACGCTAACAGTAAGATAAAACTATGTACCATAATATAACATCGTTGTAAATATGATAACAACTTAATGTAGTATTTATACATATATATGTTGATAATATCAACATAAAACCCTCCAAAGAGTACATTGGGAATACGTTAAAACATGCTAGCAACTTGTCACACCTGTTAGAAACATTTTAAAACATAGCCACAACCTGATATACCATGCTAGAGACATGATAAGAGTGCATTAAAACATGCTAGCAGCTTAATAAATGTTACAAAGTAGATAGCAACATGCTATTTGTCAAAAGAGGTAGCAAATTGGTTGTGACAAACTTTTTTCTGTCTAGTTAATATGTTATGAAACTTTTTTCAACCCTTTGAATACTTCTTTTAAATGTCCACAGGTCAAAATTCTTCAGACTGAGTTCTCCTGAGGTAGTATGGCAGCAGGTAAGAACATCATCCTGAAACAATCACATTATTGAGTCAGATTTCTGTCTGAAATAAAAATAGTTCCTGACACATTGGGCCCTATCATATACCCGGCGCAATGTGGCGCAAGGCGCGGCGCAATAGTCTTTTGCTAGTTTCAGCTTGGCGCAAGAGTCGTTTTGAGGCGTTGTGCTACGCTGTTTAAATAGCAAATGCATTAGCACTCATTTGTGCGCCTATAGGCATTCTGGTCTAAAAAGAAAGGCGTTCTGAGGCGCACTGCTGGCCCGTTGCTATTTTGAGAAACTAAAATAGATTTTTCATTAGACCAAAACAAACCCGGTCTAAACTCATGCGCAGAGTTGCACCTCGCTTACACACTGCTTAATACGCACAAGAGAGCAATAGGCAAATATCTTTACATATGAAAACATTTAAATATTAAGGATATATATAGTATATAATAAGAATAGATATAGGATATAAATATAAAGGATTAAAATATTACAAAATATTATTTTCTAGCCTGCATAAATGTGAAAAATCACTGCTTTTATGTCTTCATCTCGGGAGGCTTTTTCAGTTCATTCATAACAATTTGCTTTTGTATAATGTTATTATTATTTGCAGTATTATTTATTATATGCATATTTATATTTGTTTTATTAAAAACAAGCTTAGATTTGTCCACCTGTCAGGTTTTAGACCATATGGGATATAGGAAATAACTCAGGTTTTTGAGCACACTTTGTTATTATTGTTCATTTATTCGTTTGCTGGAAATTAGAACTGAATTTAGAAATAGTTTTGAAACGAATATTTGCGCTTAACAAACAAAATTAATTATTTATAGACTAATTGATGTCTGTGCGTAAAGGTTTCCCTATCCAAGAGTGAATGTGAAAGTAGATCTATTATCTCTCATTCTCATGCAGTAGATGCTCTATTTAACAGTTTTCTGTTAAAAAAAAAACTGTTAACTGTTAACTGTTTGCTTGTGAAATGCTCATTTTTTCCACTTAGACTTACTTTACGTCCTGTAAATAGTGAATGCGCTTATGGCGAGACGCAGCTGGCTCTTAAAGGGAATGGGAGATGAGACTCTGATTGGTTTATTCTCAAAACACACCTATAACTCATTAAGAAAATAAACGTAACCCTTTTAGACCATGCGCCACGGCGCAAAGCAGATTTTCCCGTCCGTAATTTAGCAAAAATGCGTTCTGACACGCCCTGAAAGCGTTTGCGCCCGGCGTTTTGCGCTCTGCATATGGACCGTCAAAATAGAGCCCATTATGTTACATTACACAAAACCTTGGTGTAACAGATAATGTGTGAAAGCTCTTTGGAGTCTACTAGCACTTTTTAAGCTGTCCTATTTTATTTTCAGCACCATGACTCTAATAAGATGCAGAATAATGAATGGATGGAAAAAGAACCTCAAAATAATTATATAGATTTCCTATCAGTAAATTTTAAGTGAACAAATAAAAAACATTTAGATTTATTGTATCTGACAGGCTTGAAGTGGCACACACTGTTTGTTAACACACACACAGACATAAAGAGAAGTACCTTTGCCCCCATTAAAACACAGATTTCTTTGGGTCTCTCAGCGTTTCTAGATGGCAAGGATGCAAACTCTCTTCTTAAACGTTTTCGGCGGGCAAACGGTTTCTTGGAGGAGTTCCGGCAGGGCAACATCGAGAGGGAGTGTGCTGAGGAGAGCTGCAGTTTTGAGGAGGCCAATGAAGTATTTGAAAACAAGGAACAAACGGTAAATAGTGTCTTCATGAGCCATTTAATAAATATAGTTAATTGTAATTCATAAGTGGGTGTTTCCATTAGATGCCGCATGACTTTTGGCCCTATGGACTTGCATATTTTGTTTAATGCTACTGTGTAATGAAAACTAAAATGTAATGTACACGACCAATCATTGTAATTTGTAATTATTATTATTATTATTACACATTTCTGGAATTAAATGGTTAACCCTAAGACTAAAATGTATTATTTTATGTATCGTGATACATACACGCAATCAAACCATTATCAACAGGCAGTTTTCATTTTCTACAATTATTTCCTACAGTAATTTTCCTGCAGTGACATAATATGTCACACTATATATATATATATATATATATATATATATATATATATATATATATATATATATATATATATATATATATGGATGTATAATATATGTATAATATAATACATATATTGTTGTAAGATACATTTATATCTATTTACTTCAGGTGTCACCAACATGGTGCCCGCGGGGATCACATGTGTTGCCCGCAGGCCTGTTCTAAAAATAGCTCACCATAGCACCACTTACCAGTAAGCTTCATCTAGTATAGAAGTAATCATTTAAAAATGTAAATATTTGCAGAGATATATAAACTAATAAATAAATACAGGGTATTTTCTACCCTGTTTAATCATTGTTGATAACTTTTGTGAGAATCATTAACATGATCAGTGTCTTCACATGGATGAATATCATTCATTATTACCAAAAACATAAAATATAATTAAAAGTAAATTGAGCAAATTTCCCATTTGAAAAGTGTTTATCAAACTGGTAGCCCTCCACATTAATCGGTATCCAAGAAGTAGCTCTCAGTTTCATAAAGGTTGGTGACCCCTGATTTACTTTATAATAAACATCTCTAAAAACAATATAATTAGAGTTTATTTTCTCTAAAGTTTTTAATTTTATTTTAATATGTCATTTACAAGCCGTCAATTGTTTTTCCCCACATTGCCTCATTTGTACATTTAAATACATTTAAAAATACTAATGACTAAGTAACAAAGTGGACATTATTGTAAAAAAAATTATGGAAAAAGAATATGAAAACAAATATAAATGTGTTCCTATAAATCTATTACATACCTGTCTTTCATTTATCTAATAAATCTTTATAGTTTAAAGTTAAAGGGGGAAAAACAGTATAACAAAAGTAAAAGGTTAATCTATGAATTTAATCCATATCAGGTAAATAGGTTAGAACATGAAGAAAACACTTGTTATCTTCTGATATATTTACTTATTTATTTTAGGGGAAAAATTATAAATATTGTTACGAATTAAATTAAAAATCCTTAATCAAAAAGAGATTTAACAAAAACATAACAAAATAACAGGGATTAAAAATATAATCCCTGGTGCCCCCGCGCTCTCTCTCCCCAAAATATTTACCAAAAACACACTGAGAATTAACAAGAAAATATGATTTATTTACAGAAATAAGGAGCAAAAATAACATCAGGAGGAGTTCAGCCAAAATAAATGACAATAAACCAAGCTAACTAAATAAGATTAAACTTCCCTAGAAAGCAAATAAAATAAAATACAGAAAACTTACCTCCCTACTAACAAACACAGGAGAAAACGAAAATAACAAATAAGGCACCAAACCTCCCCACATGCTCCAAGCCCGACAGGGAGACAGAAAACCGGGCTTCAATTGCCGGTTAAAAATTAACAACAACACATCAGCATCTCACATAACGCCACAAAAGGATAGAAGCAAACACTCATTTGCTCGCTAGTCTCCACTGAGCACAAATGGGGAATCGAGAGAGAGCGGGGAGCCATCGAACCAATGTTCTCTATATCCAAGCGCCAATCATGATCCGTCCTAACGTAATCCGCTACACCTGCGAATACTTAGAGTGAGAAAGAGAGAGAGAGAGAGAGAGAGAGAGAGAGAGAGAGAGAGAGAGAGAGAGAGAGAGAGAGATAGAGCGAGAGAAACACCACACACAAGCCTACACTACACTACTCGTAACAATATTTATATTATATGTAACTTTTTTAATCACTGGCCACTGTGGCTAGTAGTTTTCCAACGTTACTAGCCACTCTGCATTTTCACTAGCCACAATTTTGTTGTTGGGAAAATATTTTTGTTTTTTTAATTACTATTGTTCAGTAATTTGGTCACTCATATTTATGGAATGCAGTCAAGGCAAAAAGTGTGATTGTTGCCAACATTCAGTTTTTATGGAGTGTTAAAGGAACACTCCACCATTTTTGGAAATAGGCTAATTTTACAATTTCCCTATTGTCCCCTAAACTGTTGAAATTTACCATTTTTTTATCTATTCAGCTGACCTCTGATTCTCATGGGAGCACTTTTAGCTTAGCATAGAAAATTTAATCAGATTAGACCATTAGCATCTGGCTGAATCATGTTTTCCAGCTCAGGTTTAAGCCAATGAACTGTTGCTGTTGATCATAGATTTCCTAGATAATTGAATCGGATTAAACCATCAGCATCTCCAAAAAATATTTTCCTCACTCTCAGTATAGGAAAGCATTCAAGGGTACTTAGGTGAAGAAACTGTTGAATAAAGTAATTATTTTTTTAAAGTTTTCATGGCATTCTGGGTCATACCAATTTTATAATAGGTTAAAAATGCATTCCCTGTTTTATCCAATCACAGATGGAGTTCTGGAAAAACCGCAGCATCTACACAGTGAATAGCAATGCCGATTCAAACTCCGAGCGGCTGGACTTTGGGAACATGGTGGTGCCCCTGGTGGGCGTGGCTGTCATTATCATCGCGCTCTTCATCATCTGGCGGCTGTCCATCACTCGCTGGCGTCTGGCCTACACCCAGAACCGCTATCTGGCAAACCGGAACACCCGCAGCCTCCCTCGCATCCTGGTGCACCGCGACCCACTCTCACATTCAGAGAACTTCCACGCCAATGACAGGCTCAGTGTGGTGGTCAGCGGCACCGAGCGGAATGGGTCTTCTCTCGCCACCCAAGACGCTCGCCATCACACCGGCCACTCACAGAACAATCGCTCGCTATATGTTCAAGATCCATCTTTATCTGTGGCCTCCCAGTTGTCTGGGGCGACCCCGCCACCATCCTACGAGGAAGTCACAGGGCATTTAGAAAGCAGCAGCGATGAGACGACAGTTCCATACAATGATCCTCCACCAAAATATGAGGAGATTGTGCTAGAAAAGTGAGTGTTTTAATATACTAGGATATAAATATAGAGAGATTGTGGTTTATGCACTGGTAAATGTGGTTGAAGAGAAACAGCAAGATTCTTACCCTTTTAAAGCACATCTTCAATAGTCTTTCGACTGTTCACTACGACCAATATCTTTGACTCTTGAGGGCCTACTCACACTATGCCATCCGTACCGTGCCCAGGCCTGTTTCCCGGATCGTTTGAGAAGTGTGAGTGCGCTAAATCGCGCTCAAGTACGGTTCACTTGGCGGGCCCTGGCCCGGTTGGAAGAGGTGTGCCTGAGCGTGGTACACTTGGGCTTTGGCGCGGTACGCTTGTGTGTGAGTGCAAAACGCGCCAAAGCCCGAAACCAAAAGCGAGACGTGACTTTTAAGGGACTGTTTGATATGGATTTATTAATCATTATTTCTGTTCAGTGAACGCAAACTGCCGTAGTTTATTAAAGACGCAAACTCCTCACAGCACGCCAGCTGCGCGCCTTCAGCAGACCTCCTCATTCCTGCAGCACGAGAGCTTTATGATTGTTTATGAGCGCCAAAAGTGGCGGATCTGTTCGGCGAAATATCTGACTGCGTGTCCCCGCATCCCTAAGGACTGTTTGGCGAAATATTTGACGGCATATCAAACGACTGAAACGATATAACTAGAGAAATCTCCACTGTGCTACTGAGTGAGAGCGTATGGCAAGCCGTTTTAGCATTAAAACCTTGTTCTGACTATCCATAAATATATTTAGAGATATCTCTAATTATATTTTGACTAGTCATAATTATAATTCGACTACTCAGAATGACAATTAGAGATATCTGCAATTACAATTGTACTAGTACGAAATCAGATTGGAGATATCTGCAAATATATTATGACTAGTCATATTCCTCCATTGACTTCCATTGAAAAATATTTGCAGATATCTCTAACTGAGTTTTGACTCGTCAAAAATCCAATTCAAGATATCTACAACTGTAATTCGACTATTAGTAAATTAATTAGAGATATCTTCAAATATATTAGTAAATATCTCTAAATATGATGAATTAAAGACATCTCCAAATGTATTATGACTAGTAAAAACTCAGAGATATCTCTAATTACAATTGTTACTAGTCAAAACTCATTTAGAGATATCTGCAAATATTTTTCAATGGAAGTCAATGGAGGAATATGACTAGTCATAATATATTTGCAGATATCTCCAATCTGATTTCGTACTAGTACAATTGTAATTGCAGATATCTCTAATTGTTATTCTGACTAGTGGAATTATAATTATGACTAGTCAAAATATAATTAGAGATATCTCTAAATATATTTATGGACTCAGAACAAAGATTTAAATGCTAAAAAGGCTTGCCACAGAGAGCGCTTCTGAACAGCGCAGCAGCGATGACGTAAGCGTGCCGAGGCCCGATATGGTGTGAGCGCGGGCCATCGGGGGAGACGGGAGGACGGGGGACAAGCGTGCTTTGGCCCGGTTCGAGGCAACTGTACCTAGTGTGAGTACGGCCTTAGAAAGATATAGAAGTATGAATGAGGAAGAGATAGAGTATATTCCTCACTGACAATTGCCAAGTTCAAAATCCCATCAAGCATCAAGCTTCAGAACCTACTATAAAACAAAGGGTTGTTTTGGGGACAAAACAAGATGATGTGCCAAATCTGTGTATCGTGGAAGTTTGCATACTGTCCTCTTCTTGTGATTTTATTTAGCTTTTAGGGTCATTTTACACTGCACTGGAAGATGCAAACTATCACAAACAATCGCCTGATGTGGCTGCTTAGACATTCCATAATTCAATTTGCATAAATTGGCACCATATCGTTAAGACTTAATGATTTCAGAAGACCCGATTCAATGTTTCTTGCCATTTATCGGTGTCTGTTGGTGCTGGGTAATTGGGAATTGACGCTACCTATAGGAAGCTCTGTGAAATAATAAACCACAAGTATCTCTGAAGCACTGGTATAGAAATGTTGGCTGAAAACCAATAACTCTTGAAATCTGGAAGCCGATATATAACCGATATATAGGTGGATAACCAATATATAGGTGGATAAATGAGTTCAGATGCAAGACCCTCTAAATCCATCAGACATCTTTTCTTGTAAATGAGCATTTTCTATCAGGCTCGTCCTATTAGGTTCAGAGGTTTCATTTAATAGGTAATGATAAGGTTTTTAGCTGCTAAATAAAATACATTTTTTTCATAAATGTCCCTTTAAACAATTTTTTGGTTTTTAAAGGGCCATGACACCCCCCACTTTCGGTTAAAGTCTACTTAAGAATTTTTTCAAAAGATGCATGATTAATGGGCGTGGAGCTCCGCGAGCATCAGGCAGGAGGGGGCGTGGCCAGCAGGGGAGAAGGGGAGCGAATAACTGTTGTTGACAGTTGGCTCTCACAAACTGAAACACAAACCGTGAGGAGGCGCATGAGTTTATAGTTCACAAAGTTAAAATGCAAAGAAATAAACAGTAATTTAATGCCCTGCTACATTTGTTATTCGTGATTTCATATACACATAACCACAATTTATATAATTATAAAGATAAGTGTGTTTATGTAAATGAAGATGAAGATTCTCCCTCGATCGTCTAAATTATAGATCTTGAATGCAGACTCAGTGCAGCAGGTCTCCTGACGTGCCTATTTTAACCATTAGTCCTGCTGGTAATATAGAGGATTTAGGCAACCACAACAGCACGGCGATGTGTCTGAATGTGAACGAACTCTTGATAAAAGTCAACGTCCGCCAATCTCCAATTCTCGTACTGCTCTCCCGACAAAAATGCTTGCAGCACACACACAGCTTTGCTGTATGATCGGCCCTGACAGGATCGCGGGGAAAAACATGCAACAAACCCTGTGGATCATGGAAACAAACACATACGAGCCTTCATGAACGGCTACTGCGTGCCGTGGGTCCGTGTCTCATAGCTTGCTTGAAAATGGCAGGTCTGCCTTCGGAAAGCACGTGCTCTCATGAATAATTAAGCAGCCGGCTCTTCTCATAGGATAAAAAAACTCCGCTTTGAATAATAATGAGAAAGCTACGCGTCATTATTGCACTTGCAGTACTGCGCTACGTCGCCGATTTTGATCCCGCCCCAAAAATCATTTTAAACCCGGAAGCTGAAATTAGCAGACAAAAGCTCAAAATTATCCAGTTTTCCCCACAATAAAAGCTGACAGGTGCTAACATTGTCTTAACTGATTCTCAACACACACACATCTGTTAATATAAAAAAAATATATAAACAATTTTCTTTTGGATCAAATCCAGCTAAATCCGCATCTGCTTTTTATGCAAAACCCTCTAAATCCACCTATTGGGAAAAGACATTGTAATTAGTTGAAAATCACTAAAGATGAAATTAGAGATTATTTTACCAAACATAAAACACAGACTCAGACGACCTGAAATTAAAAATACATCTGTCAAGAAAGTGGTGGTTCATTCCGCTGTGGTGACCCCTGATAAACCAGGGACTAAGCAGAAGGAAAATGAATGGATGAAATCTGTCAAGTGCATTCATCAATAACATTAAACTTGACTTTAATTAAATCTTAACAATATGTTGTCATTTCTGATATTTGGGATTTGGACTTAATATAAGTAAAGCAATGTAAAAAAGCTTGTTAGATTCAAATAATGTAGTGTAAAAACATTGTGAAACATCAATATCTCTGCAGTAATATAGATAATGTATAGATTTATACATTTATCTTTTAAAACAAAGCCTGCATTGGCAAATAAAACACAAGGTAGGCCTACTGTGCAAAAAAGTGAGATTGTGTCTCTCAAAAGTCGTCATTTATTCATCCATACTATACTCAAGATCTTAGTCTCTTTTTCATCTCTTGTTTATCTTCATAATATCCATGTGGGATAAAAAAACGGCATCCTAACTTCGTCTTTCGTGAAATGGAGTTGCTGTTTAATGTAATGTAGCTTTAGTAAATTCGACTTATTCAAAACGTTATGAATGCATGCTACACTTCCGATTGTACACTGTGTTTTCTTTTTCTTATAATGCACAGAGTTTTGAGGTACAGGCCGTATTCATTTGTCATTCACTGACAGTCAGTCAGGTTCATGCAGTACATCAAACTCCGTCTTTTGACTCTCCTTATAATAGCCAGCATATTAGCGCTGCTACATTTAAAACATATAATACGATTCATGCCTCTTATTGGTTCTCTGGAAATAGCGTCTTTTGCTGTCGAAGGCAAGTGGCGTTTAGCGGCTTTTGCAAACAAACGGTTATTTCTGAATGCGCTGACGCTGGGATTTAGATGATTTGACACAAATCTATTTGTTGAACATTTACTACGTGCCCAAAGCATTCACTCAATGTCATTCTCATTTTTGGCAGAACTTGGCGTTTAGTGGCTTTTGCATCTGAACTCTTCAAATGTAGATGTTATAAATTTTTCCAAGCCTAATTTTATAAACAAAACTCAAGACACTGTTAAAACCTTGCCTGTAAAAAACAAGGAAACAACTATTTATCTATCATCTTTATCTTGATTCATTTAAAAATTGCAATTCAGAGAATTCCCTTTTTTTTATTTTATAAAGAATCCTACACTGCTCGTCTTTCCTCTAGCATAAACTCTTCTAAAGCATCTGCCCCAATGGCCAGCGGTACAAATCTGAAGTGTGGGGAAAAAAATGTATTTAAGAATTTAGTTGCCAATAATTCACTTTATTATCGGCCGGTACCAATATGGCAGCCAATATATCGTGTATCACTATTTCTGATGCCAAAATTTTTACAACTTGTCATAGACTTCCACAAATAAATTGTAAGACTAATGCACTTCAAACTAATTTAAAATACATTCAAATCACACCTGGCCAAATTCCCTCCATTGGCCCTTACCGATCATGGCCTCCCCATCCACTTAATTGGCTCTCTACTCCACCTATAGCTGGTGTGTGGTGAGCACACTGGCACTGTTGTCATGTGGCTGCCGCCTCATCATCCAAGTGGATGCTGCACACAGGCGGTGGTGTGGAGACACCCCCCTTCATGTTTGTGAAGCTCTTTGGGTGTATGGCCACGTATGATAAATGCACTATATAAATACACATTACATTACACACATGATGATTGTACCATCTTGTGGTGAAATACACTATCACATATGCACACAATTGACTTGTTTACAGACACAAACATAAAAATGTACGTTTAAGTAGAACTAGGCCTTAGAAACTTGTAAGAAAAGTCAATCAAATCTCAGCTGCTTGTGAACTATTGAGAGATGATTTTACCTCAAATGCTACCCAGTAAACAATTTGATGTTTAATAGACGTCTTGATAAACATTTAAATGTAGACAACTTGGCTAAAACAAGGCTAAACTTGAATAAGAAAAAAAAAAGAATAGCCCAAAACTAGACTAGTCGTCAAATAGACAGATTAGACAGACTTTATGGGCTCTATTTTGACGGTCCATGCGCAGAGCGCAAAACGCAGGGCGCAAACACTTTCAGGGCGTGTCAGAACGCATTTTTGCTAATTTAAGGACAGGAAAATCCGTTTTGCGCCATGGCGCATGGTCTAAAAGGGTTGAGTTTATTTTTCTTAATGAGTTATAGGTGTGTTTTGAGAATAAAACAATTAGAGTCTCATCTCCCATTCCCTTTAAGATCCAGCTGCTTCGCGCCATAAGCGCATTCGCTATTTACAGGATGTCTAAGTGGAAAAAATGAGCATTTCACTAGCAAACAGTTAACAGTTTTTTAACAGAAAACCTTTACGCACAGACATCAATTGGCCTATAAATGATTAATTTTGTTTGTTAAGCACAAGTATTTGTTTCAAAACTATTTATAAATTCAGTTCTAATTTCCAGCAAATGAATAAATGAACAATAATAAAGAAGTGTGTTCAAAAACCTGAGTTATTTCCTAAAACACATGCTGTGCCCCATATCGTCTAAAATCTGCAGGTGGGCAAATCTAAGCTTGTTTTAAATAAAACAAACATAAATATGGATATTATAAATAATACTGCTAATAGTAATAACATTATACAAAAGCAAATTGTTATGAATGAACTAAAAAAGCCTCCCGAGATGAAGAAGACATAAAAGCAGTGATTTTTCATATTTACGTAGGCTAGAAAATAATATGTTTTGTAATATTTTAATCCTTTATATTTATATCCTACATATATTCTTATTATATCCTATATATATCCTTAATATTTTATTTTTTTCATATGTAAAGATATTTGCGTATTGCTCTACATCTTGTGTGTATTAAGCAGTGTGTAAGCGAGGCACAACTCTGCGCTGGACTTTAGTTTTAGTTTTTTGGACTTTGGTTTGTTTTGGTCTAATGAAAAATCTATTATAGTTTCTCAAAATAGCAACGCGCCAGCAGTGCGCCTCAGAACGCCTTCCTTTTTAGACCAGAACGCCTATGGACGCACATATGAGCGCAAATGCATTTGCTATTTAAACAGCATAGCGCAACGCCTCAAAACGACTCTTGCACCAAGCTGAAACTAGCAAAAGACTATTGCGCCACACCTTGCGCCACATTGCGCTGGGTGTATGATAGGGCCTTAAATGTGCAGTCATTCAGTTCTGTTTACTTAATGACTAGTCTAGTTTTGACCCATTCTTTGATGTCTATTACTGACATCCCAAATTGAACCTTGTTTTAGCCAAGACGACTATGTTTAGACGTCTATTAGACATTTATTAGACATCTTTTAAAAACAAAAAATGCTTGCTGGGTGTTCACACAATCACTCGTTACAAAAGACACATATACACAAAACCTCCCTCTTGAAAAAAAACCCTGTGTTTGGGGCCCAATCATTGGATAACACAACATTCCAGGCCCTTAGTTTTTGTTTTCTTCGTTCTCAGACTGTTTACGATGTGTTTTATTACTGTTTTTTTTTATAACTGTGTGGATCAGTGCAAAGCATTCTGTGGCTTTTGACATCACCCAGGTGCTATACAGTACTATAATGCTGCTTGTCCTCAACGTGTTCCCCTTCTCATCACTATGTGTCTGTGTGTACAGCTTGTGCTCGAACTAGTCAACCAAACTGCCCGTCTACTACATGTGGCTGAATCATGTTTTCCAGCTCAGGTTTAAGCCAATGAACTGCTGCCGTTGCGGTAAATATGTAAATAACTTCTCACACTGCCAACTTCACTTGAGTGACTGGGAAATTTGGCTTAAGGTGTGGTCACAATTACTATTGTTCTGCAAAGTTTTCATATGAATACAGGAGATTACGGGAAAATTCACACGAGGGCAAATGATTACCCAATAGACCATTTTGAGGGATGTAAACAAAAACAATGGCATCATCCTATTTCCTGTTTTACATTTTTGATTTCTATAGCTTCCGAGAATCCAAAATGAACCACATATTGATGAATAATGCTATAACGGCTGTTTTAACCTTAAGTTATATTTGAATTGCCTCTTGTTACAGTTATGAAATAGTTTGATAACAAGCAGAAAATGTTCATGTGCCGATGACATGATCACATTGAAATGGTCTATAGAGATTTCAAGTTGGTCACTCACATTTATGGAACGCAGTCAGGGTCAAAAGTGTAATTGTTCCCAACATCCACAGTTTAATTGTCTTAAAGGAACACTCCACCATTTTTGGAAATAGGCTCATTTTATAACTTTCCTAGAGTTGAATTGTTGAATTTGACCGTTGTTGAATCCCTTCAGCCTATCTCTGGTTCTGGTGAGAGCATTTTTAGCATAGCTTAGCATAGATTATTGAATCAGATTAGACCATTAGCATCTCGCTCAAAAAAATTCAAATAGGAGTTTTGATACTTTTCCTATTTAAAGCTTGACTCTTCTGTAGTTACATCATGTACTAAGACCAATGGAAATAGAAAGTTGCTATTTTCTAGCCTGAAAGCGTTTGACACTTAGTGATTGAACTAAGTATCTGCTTGTTAAGTGGTGACGTGTTTGTAACGTATGTATACTGTTTCCGGGTCCAAGCCGCCATTCATTTGAGTGGAGAAATCATTCGTTTATGATCACGTTTTATTCCTATCACACATTAAAGTTAATTTTATGTAAATCATAGTGTACACAACAATCTCTGGGCTTGCTGCATAACAAATACCAAAAAATTTACAATTTATAAAAAAATGAATCACTTTCTGGCCATCGGATATTAGGCATGGACATATATATTGCGATCGTGATTTTCGAAAGCCTTAAATCGCTTTGTAAACGTTTATTATTACCATTTCATGAGTCTCCCCATTCAGTTCAATAGAGCGCTTGGTCCCGGAAGCCGCTTTGCGTGACGTCACACTTAACAAGCGGATAGCGGTGCTCATGCAAAATATTGCAGAGTTTTTTTTTCTTTCATCCGGCCCCTCCTCCGATGACTTGATACACACACAGGTTGCCAGATAGAGCACACAGAAAGGAACAAGTGTGCTTGACGATCCTTACACTGTTAGCTGCTCAGCTAATGTTTCTAATATTTGTATTACTTAAAAACCACCTCATGTGGATCTTTATAACTCAAGATTTGCGTCTCATTTCAGACGCTGCAACTGTCCTCCAGAGTTTGCATTTATTGCAGAATAAATTTAGGCAGCCTTCAAGACTCAAATGAAATACACCTTCTTTACTTTAAGGCAACACAAATGTAATCTTTTCTTTTCGGCTTAGTCCCTTCATCAACAGAGATCGCCACAGTGGAACGAACACCAACTTATCCAGCATGTTTTATGCAGCGGATGCCCTTCCAGCTGCAACCCATCACTGGGAAACATAGAAATGCTAACTGACATAGCCAAGGCTCAAACTAGTGACCTTCTTGCTGTGAGGCGACAGTGCTACCCACTGCGCCACCACACCGCCCCTCAGAATTATAATATAATATGTAAATATTCATTCATTTATTTTATTTTCGGCTTAGTCCCTTTATTATTCCGGGGTCACCACAGCTGAATGAACCGCCAACTTATCCTGCATATGTTTTACTCAGCAGATGCCCTTCTAGCTACAACTCATCTCTGGGAAACATCCACACACACTCATCCACACTCATACACTATTGACAATTTAGCCTACCCAATTCACCTGTACCACATGTCTTTGGACTGTGGGGGAAACTGGAGCACCCGGAGGAAACCCACACAAATGCAGAGAGAACATGCAAACTCCACACAGAAACGCCATCTGACCCAGCCGAGGCTTGAACCAGCGACGTTCCTGCTGTGAGGCGACAGCACTACCTTCTGCGCCACTGCGTCGCCCAATATGGAAATATAATATATGGAAATAATTAAGTAAACTTTTTGACACAGAACGCACATTTTCAAAGGAGAATAACCAAGTTTAACATTGTTTTTCAGAAAATCGAGAATGTTCACTTTCAGTTTCTTTTTTTTTATAATCTTTTTTATTGTTTTTAGCATAAGAAATAATCAATAACATAAACAGAACAAAAAACAACATAAAAAATAAAGGGGGGTCACAAAGGCCATTTCAAAATACACAAATAGTCGGACACAACATAATACGACATCATCCAGAAAGCATAAGGAAATAGTTAGAATTAAATATGAAACAAAAATAATTTACAGAGAAATGTGTAGGCTCCACAATTCGACTTACTCCAGACCAATCTCACTTATAAACAGTCACTTTCATTTTCTTAAATATCCTAAATATTATGGTATATATTTATATGCCTTAGAAGAGTCAAAAACTCACATACAGCACCTTTAAAGAATTTTGGCCCTGATGGCCTTCCATACAATTTTGCCATGCTGACCAACAGAAAGCTGCTCGCTTTGAAAGTCACTTCTGGTGTAAGCTTGAAAAAAAAAAAACAAAGAACCTTGCTTTGACTGTGAAGTGTGACCGCACCTTTAGACTTGTGATGGGACAATATCGCTGCATCAATCCAGGTGACATTTCAAAAGAGTCACTGAGTTGTTAAGTGAAGCACTAAAACGAATAGAGCCTTAATATAATTGTCCTGAAACACTGTTTATTACAGCTTATTGTAAAAAAAAGGGTTAGACATTTAACATGACCAAACAGTATACTGGACATATTCAA